TATTTCGAACTGCCGAAACCAGTCGTTTTCTTCTGTTAAGTACACCTCCATCTATTCAGTTGAAACATTGCGTACTGGAGATTCATCATGAACAGAGTAAGTTTAGGACAACGATCTGAAACTGACAATGTGAAATCGGTTTATATGAATCCAACTAGATCGTGTTCCAAGTACTTAATGCATGCCTTCCCAGTTATAATAGCTCTAAATATCCATGGATATGTTAGCACAAAAACTATTTCATTTAAAAAGCACATATTTTCTGTTTGACTCCATTTGCCTTAAAAAACCTTGTTCGCTTGATCCTTACTGTCCGTAGAGCGCAGTGTATTCACAGAGTAGGATGGTTCGAAACAAGACTGTCATTTCTCTGGCATTCTGTCAGTTAGTGTCAATGCACCAGCTAGTCTCACTTTTTGGGAATCCATGTTTAGGAATGCATTAATCCAACGCATCACAAATAATATCTCACAAGTGTTGGTATTGACGAGATGATTTTCGAGTGAAATTTTCGTAGTTGTTTTCCATTTGACAACCTGCGGTACGGTGACACCGCAGTGCTCTATTTACAAGACAAGATTCCCTGCACATTAAAGAACAAGAATCATATATTCTCAGGACTATTACTCGAGATCAGATTAATCTTTTATATTTTATGAGAGTATCCTACTGCTTACTTGCCGCGATTACAACAGGAGTAGGGTTGGCCTGATATTATTCATATCTGCATGATTTCCCTCCCTCTCGAACATAATCTTGCCGAAATACCGTGATGAGCTCACCGTAGAACCTTCGGTTGCGGTATTTCTTAGGGACACACAAACTTTAAGAATTTCTGAGAAAACTCTTTTGAGACAGTATCAGTAGCGTATATCGTAATTAAATAATTGGCATTCGAACGTCCTCTTCCGCCTTAGGTTAGAGTAAATCCAAGTTCACACTGTCCATAAACCAGGACAAACAATGAGTTCATTCCTCCATGCTTTTTGTGCTAAGTAGACCTTGAAATGGCAATGGCGCCTAAAATCCACACTGCTTTTGATCAGTCTTCCAACGGTAGGTCAATCGTGCCGGCATAACCTGGTGCCTGATAGCCAATCACAACCGTTGAAGCAAGAAATACGGCTTGCCGGATTGAAGTAGGATCCGCGTGTCCGATCTGGTTCAGTAAAGCACACCCATCCTTTATAAATCTTTATGAGCTTTTTTTGATTTCGTCAACGAATATCGAACCGCTCCCTTTGAGAAGCCGTTGCAGGGTCATGTGTGCTCTATTGCTTGGACAATACATAGAAATACTATAGCTTCTCTTAGACAGTCAAAACAAGCACAATCAGAATCGCAAATTCTGAAAAGATAACAAAATTCCATGTGATTTCAAATCAATGTTCTCAGCAGCATAATCCCCGTGATTCAAATGTGGCTTGGATAAAGTCTCTAGTGAATCGCCCCCACATTTCACATGACCACAGTAAACAGTTGGGTGAGATAACAGTGGTACAGTCGGGTAACGGAAAACGCAGCAACGAGTTATTTTATAAGGCCAACGGCTTCCCTCAGTGAGTGGCTCTTGGCAGATTCTGACGGCATCATATGGCTAGCGAAATGTTTGCACGGTGATCAGCTTAAAATAGATGAATTATATCAGGTCTCCTGGGGAGATCGATAAATTTTCGGTAGAAATATGGACACTCGGTACTAGTCAGACAATCATTTAAACAGAAAAACCACCAGTTAGACGCTGTATACTACTTATATTAAGTGACAGAGTTGTACAGGCCTCATCACTCCTGCCAAATTGAGGACATGGAAAATCACTGGGTGTGCTGTTGAATAACTTTACTTTTGAAGGAGCTCTCTCTAAGTTAATTCATCAAATCGTTCGTTGGGTGGTTTCGCCATCATATCATATTTACAGTAAACGGAGCACACTGGATTGGTGTCACAACAGATCTGGCATTATAACTTAAATCAATTCTCGACTTTGGCAGTGGACCTCGCATCCAACTTGGCGAGAAATATTGATATTCATAAATGAGGTGGAGCAATTTGTTTGCCAATAAGATCTCATTGCATTTCTTTAGTGCATGCCGTGAAACTCTTAGGTGTTGCGCTCTAGTTAAGGTAATCTTGTATTCTATGCTATTAATCCCAGTGCTTAATAGACCCATTTTTGAGGAGCCACGGAGGGTTCCGAAACCTTTATGTCCTGTTTTATTACGACTGTTTTGAGGAAAACTATTAGGTGAATTCATTAGTAGGACGCGAATCAGCCGCATTAGAGAAGTTTGGCATCATCATGAAAACAAAGGGGAGCAAATCGGATGCCATGGTGACAAAACGGATGTACAAAAAAGTCCTGTCGGTACGTGTTTCGAAGCCAAACGCCAGCACGTCGGACGAGCGTGAAACATCTGCTCTTGTTCTGACAGGACTAACCAAACTACCTTGGTGCCAGACTTCACCACCGTCGACTAAATGCGACGAATAATGCTATCGTTGCGGTGCTTGAATTGTGCAAGCCGCTGGCCCGAAGACGCTGCATGCGCGCACTTGGAGGACAAGTACGGTTACGGAGGGAGTGGCGAGATCTGCTTATATTTCCGTCGATCGCTTCCGGTATCACATTAATCAGAGATGGGTGTGACACATGATCGTGTACTGTTTTATCAAACAAACTTCGGCTAGCACGTCCACCAAAACAGAAGTGGACCATGGAACACGCCTTTCACTTTCACCATAAATGACCTATAAACAAATAAACTTTGTTGTCGGAGCAAGTCACCGCTCAGGGTTTTGCAATATTTGGATACGAATCCCATCCAAACCTTTTGAATCAATTTAGGATACCCACGTGCATTGTTGACCGCGAGCAGCACCAAGACAAATAGCCCAGGGTTTTGGAAGACAAGCGCAGTACTAAAAAACAAGTCAAATGGAACTTCAAAAGAGAGGTCGTGAAGCAATCTGCGGTAAACACGGTTGCTTTCATATGGTACGTAAACAGTATACCGGCTGCAAAATGAAACCTCTTATGGCACAAGTCTGGAGCTAGTGACAGCGAGAAAGAAATACATCACAACATGAAGTTACAAAATCTGCTCCGTTTCCGTTGAACTTTCATTTAGATATGTAAAGATGAACCTATCCTTCGTAACAAAATTGTCATTTGATGTGACAGACGCGCAAAACAACCGACTGTTTCCAAGTTACAGCGTCTACCCTTACACCGTCACTTGTCATGATAGCATCCTTGCCCTTCATCACTTTGAGGTTGTCTCCCTGCATAACTTAATAGTCCCATAATATTCATCATCCGCTATCACAAGTGGGCTCATTTCGTCGTACAGGGCCTACATTTATGTAGACGTTATTTTTACGGTAGGTTTTTTGTAACATGACTACGTAAGTTAATGATGACATCAGTGCATTTCCTCCGTGGTTTTGAACGAAGGCCGTATTGGGAGTGATATACTAGGAACGCATCTTACTGATTTCAGCATGCCTACTGAGATATTTTCATCAGCGACAACTACTCTGTTAGTGCACACTTGTCGCCTACACGGAGAATGTGTCGTTTCAGACATGGTAGCAGATGCCAGTAAAGGGGGAACACATACGACCACATGCTTTCAGTCATTTTTATGTCAATACTAATGAAAATTGACCGTGGTTCTGTGATCGAGATTAATTCCACCGGACAGAAGTGATCTCACTGCGGGGAAGTAGACGCCCCATACTTACAACTCGGAAAGTCCTGGCCTACCGGTCTAATATTATGAATTGTGACATAGATGGACCAGCGATAATCGAATATCTACTACCAAACACAACCGCCAGACTTCAACCATTTGATAGTTGCATTATTAACTCTCTCAGGTGATTCGACAGGGAAAGAGATTTTGAAAACTCGATCCACATGACAGGCTTCAAATAGCCTATTGCAATACCCCCACTTGAGACAGGAGGAATCTGGGAGACAGTCAAGGATAACTGATTGATAACCAGAGAGCACGGACTTTTGTTATCCTTCAGGGGACCTTGAGATGGAGTGTGATGATTTCACCGAGTTGCAAAAATCCATGCATTTCCAGGTAACAGTTGCCGGAATACTGAAAAAATCATGCTCAAGAAAATAGTTGTTGTCTACAGGAAACGCTCCTCCCATATCTAATATGACTGGTCACCGACATTCGTTTTGCTTACATAATACTTTTCAACTGTTTTGGTGCAGCGTGTTGTTAGTACTTGGCTGTCATTTCTCCGATCAGGCTAAGATCAGGGCGAACACCTTTGGGAATAATGTCACTGGAATGGAGGTTCAGTGTGGAAGTGGAACACTTATTGGTCTACCAGTCAAAGGACTTGCAACGCCTTCCGCACTTTTAGGAATGACCTGCAGGAAGAGGTGCTGACGAACATGTATGTTCGCAAGCCCGTGTATCTTGATATTCATAAAATACCCTCCGGCGGGTGGTTTGCCCATTTGTTGTATGGGACGCTAAGTACGCTAACGGCGTTATGTTAGTTCTGTAGTAACAGTCTTTTAAGCTTTAGGGGGCATTTCCTGTCGGAACAGCGCTGCGGCACTTCTTGACCTGTGGTATGAAGCAAACGGACCATATGTAATGGTTTACCTCATCTGATGACAGTGCCGATGCGTCCGGTAGAGTAGAAAACCGACGAAACTAGTCAAACATGGAGGGTATCCAACAGTAAAATGTGATTCATCATTCTGACTTGGTGAGGACGGCTCTTCGTGTGTTCCCCATACGACACTTAGGTAAAAGACATCTGTTTCAAACTAATTACCAACTCATTCATCGCATTTATTAGTGAAATGCGAGGAATATAATTTGTCTGTGTGCGAATCCCCCTATAAAACGGTATTTTTGGACTTAAGAAACTTGTTTGTTCCGCTTTGTCCATTCATTAACTGCTTGAGTTGCTGCGTATTCACAAATAACTAATAATTCAAAGCTATCATTTGATGAATACCGGTAACAATGCGCTGGAAAGGAGTGGACAGTTTCTCAGTTGTATAAAATGATCTAGAGAATCCGCACAAGGTACACTTAATGATCAAAAGCACCGTGCTGGATACAGACAATAAACGGCTATAGCGAATAGATTGCGGAAGCGTTTGGCTTTTTAGCTTCAAGTGTGACAATATGCAATATGACAATAAGCGAACTTTTATTGCTAATTAGATAGTGATACAAAAAATAATGAAATTGGCTGTACAGCGTTGCGGGGCTATTCTACGATTTTTGCATTGTTTTCATATGAATAGGCTGAAAGCAGTGAGCAACTTCAGCAAGCAAAAACCTTCTGCACGGTGAACTACTTCTGCTCAAAAGCCCCCACTAATCTGTCACATAGGGGGCTTCAGAAAATAAATTTGAGCATATTATGAGAGATCCAGTCCAACTGGAAGATTTTTTTCACCTCCGGATTTCACCATTGTCTCACATAGCTTTGCGAGTATATTGGCAAATCGATCAGTCCCGGTGTAATCGATTTCTCCACGTTCCCAGGCGTACATTCGTTCCGTTTCAATCCACTCGTGTCGCGGGCACAGTTTATTGCCTAGATTTAGCGTAGCCAGTTGACCACTTATCCCAGGCTGAAACGGACAAAACAGTCAGTACATGTGTCAATCAGTAAAGCTGGACCCCGTAACGTTTGCAAAAGCTTTTGTTAGTTGATCTGATAAGGCAGAACTTCGCCGTCACTCCTAAGCAATTCTTTGTGTAGTTTAGTCCAGTCTTTGTTTTTCTTTTTCTATTTTTGTTTGATTAATCATAATTTCTTAGATGGCTAGCTTCACCAAACGTTCACTTTCACCAGATCCAGGCGACCCTAGTGAACCCGAAAGTACAGAATTTAGCAGCTAATGCTTATTGGACTCGTTTGACGGGTAATGCTTATAGAGTAGTTTGGTTGATACTTGGCAAACTCACTAATTAGTCCCTGGGTGGTATTTACTGTTCGATGACTTCCGCAGTTTCGGTATCGGAGACGGTGTTGTATCGTTGAATTCTGATAGGCCTTCGCCGACGTCTAGTTAGCAACAGAGCGTTATCCCCCATTTATATTGTGCACCAATCGATAGGGTGTGTTTTGATACCTCCACTTTGGTTCCACAGATGGATGACAATAAGGAATGAGACACCTAAGCTGGTTATGCTATCTGCTTTTTATCATCACTCCGCTATTTAGCTTGTGGTATTAGGGATTACAGTCTTTGCTAGTCACTATTAACAGGCAATACAGTAAGAATAATAGAGTGCGCCAGTTTACACGTGTTCAAACTACCCGCGCAAAAAGAACTGTAAACTCACTTTCGTGCACTAGAGCGAGGCGATTACACCGTAATCAAAGCAGGGAGGCATGACCAAACGACACTTAATCAAGCACAACAAAAAATGTGATTTCACCATTTGCACACAGAATGTCACATATCATTTAAAAGACCATTGCTTTCGGTTCTGAAGTGAGTCACTACGGTACAGTGTCAGTGTTGACTGCCTTGACGACAAGCAACAAGCGGCACAACGATATTCATGTGCGATCTGGCCGAAAACCTTCACGGGAAAGACGACCGCTCAAAACGTGGCGGATGACAGAAATGCACCGACAAGTACTGAGACCCTCAGAAACCTTATGGTTATACTTACTTGTTGTAAACCAGAAGCCGATAATAGCTTGCAGAGTTCCTCAACCTCCTCCTTGTTTTCCCATGTTGCCCGAGCAACCTCTCTATCAAATCCTCGTTCTTTAAGTTTCTCGCGGGATTTCCGCAAATTCTTTATTGTTCGACGTTTGGATTTGTAAAGACTAAAACCAGTGGCTAATTCATCAGGGCGACTAAACAGCTCTTTTTCTGGTGATAACAAATCTGTGAACACCGGAGATTTAATACTGTTTTCAATAAGAGGTATTTCAGCCATTGGCACAATGTCAACATCTTGGCGTGGAGATGTATAGCTGAGAGATTCGTCGTGTAGAACGCACTCATCCCAGCTGAAAGCATGCAACTTTGCCTTTCCAGATCTCCTAGGCACCGGAAGTTCCAGGTNGCGGAGAGATTCATCGTGTAGAACGCACTCATCCCAGCTGAAAGCATGCAACTTTGCCTTTCCAGATCTCCTAGGCACCGGAAGTTCCAGGTTGTATGGCTCCAGTTGACTTTTTTGCTTCCACCCTTTATTGTCATCCGCCTTTTGACGGGTGATCGCCAAATCCAGTGCCTGAAACTGATGTAATTTTTGTGGAACCTGAACAACGAATTTTCCTTTTTGATGAGAAAGTGAGGTCGTCTCTTCCAGGCAAACCGCTTCATTGCTTTGCTTAGGCAGATCACCTTGTTGCTCTGGCCCTCTTATTGCGTTTCCTAGCTTCAATTCAGAATTCGTAGCGGAAGCTTGGGTGGGGAGCACCGGAATCTGAAGTTTGGTCGCTCTTGAAGGTGATTGGCTATGCAAAACACTTCCGACACAAGTTACGCTGCCTTGGGTATCATCCACAATCCTCTTGCTTCCTGCTTTTTGAACGACAGCGCGCGCTGCCCGCTTCCTTTTCTGCTTGACACGTTTGTGAAGTTCCGCCCTTCCTGTTTCAGTGTGGCGGGATCTTGAAACAGACAGCATAGTCTTTTTCTCGTTTGTCATCTCACACCTACACTTCTGACATTCTAGCAAATACGATGGCGGAGGCTCTGAAGTGCTTTTTGGTTCTGGCTGCCAAACCGATGTTACGATTTCCTTGGTGAGGCCAGTGGTCTCAGATACGGATTCACCGAGCCCTGGTTCACAACGTGATTGCGCACTTACTGTGACTGATTCTCCACTGGACGGCGATAATGCCAGTGGTTTTACTGGAGTTGATGGTAGTGGTATAGACGGTGGAGGTGGTGAAAAGAAAAACCCACTTTCTTGCGCAGGTGGATGTGATTTCTTTACCGTGGGCGATGCAGCCCGCTGTGGGGCAAGTGATGATGATTTAGGTGGTGGATTAGGTGGTACGTACGTATGACTGAATGATGACGCCGGTTTAGGAACAGGCTTTGGAACCTCATGATACTGACGGAAGCGATTTTCTTGATCTGTACGCTGTCCGTGGTGGAGATATTCCCAGCGTGTTTCGTGAAATTCCGGATGATACGGAACCATTCTCGGTGGACTGGGAGGTCGGTAGTAAGGTGATTTCGTGGCCCAGTCCAGAGACTGGTGGACGTTTGGGACGCGAGTTTCATGTTTCAACGAGTCCTGTACATTAGTTTGCTGCAGGTTCTGGTCTGGAAAATTACTGCGCGCGTATTTCGTCTCTATGTAGAAGTCTCCTAAAACCTATTGATCATTTTAACGAGATAAATCGGACGTTAACATTAAAAAATAAACATTCAAAGCCAGTTGAATATTGTGTAATTCGTGCACAGTAATTACGAGAGCGAAACACAACAATCAATTTCGGCAAATCATAGCATTAAAATCGGGTGTCACGATGGTGGAAGTGTATAAAATGGGAGGGGTGGAAACGGGAAGAGTAAATTTTAGGGTTCCAATTTTTTTTTGCATGTTAACCATTAACAAAATTGGACTTGCTAAATAGACCAAAGTATGTAAAAAGTACTGCTCATAACGGCAACTGTAATCACAATAATATTAAGACGAAGCGAATCTGGTTAGTAATGAGGGGCACTGCTCGTTTTGGTAACCTTGTCGAAGCCTGAAGCTACACTTAATTAATCGCTAAGCCTCATCCGGCACATCAGCATCGCCTCTGGCTTCCGACCACTGATAGCACGCGCCAGTGACCATACCTTGACCTGCGACGTCAGCAAACCCAAAAGTTAATGACCTCAGTCTACCGATAGCATGCAGATGCATTAACGAATAGTAAATGGTCGGGGACAGCGATTATGAAACCAACGGCTGATTTCTTGCGAAACCACTGACTGATCGACATACGGAGGGAGTTCTGTCTTTGAATAGATGATGAACAGTGATGGGGTTAATCTGAACCTGATAACTCTGGTAATTTATAACCTGTAGTTGTATGTTTAGAAACACATTCAAACGAATAACAAATTATACCAGGGAAGCCACTCGCTCCGAATTCCCGAGAAACTTGATACTGAGCCAGTGTACTCTGCTGTAGTAGTCAAACGTATTAAACGTAGAAGTAGAATTACACTAGTCAAAACACATCGCAGCGCATCAGTTTGAAATCCAGTTGCATTTGGACGAATGTATCAGGGTTTTTTTAAACAACAGAATGCTTTGGTGTTTCAGTTTGTTGTCATCAGCTGCGATTAAAATGAATCAAGACAAAATCAATGAGGTTTAATTTCGCCAGCGCAACAAGGTGAAGCAGCCACAAGGAAGTGGAAATTTCTAACCAGAGATTTCATTATGCAAGGCTTAATTAATCAGCACTATAAATCCCAGGAGTACCCCACAGTTGGTGATCATCCTCAAGACACATCAAGAAGGAAGTTCGAATTTACATCTGCCCGAAATCAAGACAGCTGATCAGCAGTGTTATTGCTCTACGTTTTGAAAAGACATTGTGCCAAACAGTTCCAGTGCCATGACCGTTCATTGCCTTTTGTTACTGTCTCCTAGTCACCAGCAACGAGACTTATGCTTTGAGATTGATGATAAAGTTGGAAATGGACGGTTAAGATAGGGGAGCAGCGGGGACTTCAGTTACTAAGTATAGGTTAATCTTCCCTTGGGGGATCCTGAATGAAGAATTTAACACCTAATTACTACTGAAAAATACTTAGTGTGACATGTCAGGAAGTTCTTCATTTTACTCCGGTTTCGGCTGAAAAATAGTAGATAAAACAGCATATAATATTTCACTCCTAAGCTCTCACGATGATCTTCCAACTCAGTCATCGCTAACCTCTCTGGCCCCTTGCAACCTTTTCAATGGACAGACGGAGCCCATCACTCCTTAGTGGTTTTCAGCCCGGAGCAAAACGGATACTCCTCAGCTGAGTCTCCAACTGAGATGAAACTAGCTTGTAAATGAATGTATCTAGCGAACTGCGTGCAGTTTGGGCCCAACCAGAACGTGAGGTTTACAGAAACTTGAGCACTGCACCTACGTTATGGGCCTCAAGGATGGCGAAACGGGTCATGTGCTGCGATGAAGTTTACAGTAACCCTAGAAATGGTGTGTTCTGTCGAAAAAATTCGAATATCACACCAACCATGAAGCAGCCTGTGCGCGGCGCATATGTTTGAATAATATCATAAACGAGCGATTCAGCTGGGTTTCAGATGAGTCTCCCGTTAACACCAAATTAGTTCGTACATGGGGATATTTCACGAAAACGCGCACTAATATGTATTTTTGACGCAAAGCAATTTGCCTTGCCTCAAACAAAAGCCAATGCGTAGGAGGCCAACGGTTGCATCCACATCATTCTCACTTGACTAGAAATACCCTTATTCTGACGAGATCACAGTGGATGCAATCCGCTCAAGCTTCGCTCTGTTGAAGCTTGAATATCTGTGGTCGTGCGGGGATCAGCTTAACTGACTTAAGGGAGACCATGTTATCATAAGCCAGCACCCGTTCGCACAACCCCTTACCTCTTCTGGTTGTGACAATCGACCGAGCCCGTCAAAATCTCAATCGTGTAGGACCACTAACGTTTACGATCACAAGACTTGCGCCAAGACAAACGTCGGACTGTTAAATGACGGGTATTGTGAGTATAAATTCTTCATATCTTATAGGCACTAACAAACAACAAAAAATTTTCTCAAAGGTTCCAGGTATCCATGGTGTTACTTGGCTTGGCATAGTTACAAATGGATAATTGTTACATACGATCAGTTTGCAAGACTATACTCTCGCTCCATTTCAAGTATTATGTCGGAGTAGAGTCTCCGTCGCCGGCTCAAAACCATTGTAATACTATTTGTCCGGTGTTGCATTACTTTTTAGTGAAAATGGGCTAATTTTTCACTGCACAAGTGCTTTGTGGTCTGCTATTAATCTTCGTATCCACGACAATGAAGTATCAAACTGAGCAAAATGCCATGAAACCTGCAATTGATTCTGTTGGGAGCAAACTAAAACTAAGGTACAAGGGAAATACCCGTACACGTTTCTAAGGTTTGGGTTTTGATAAAGAAGTTAAACGATCACGTGACGTTTATCCAGCTACATCGACACTTCAACAGCCGGCATTTTGGGGGTAGCATAAATCGCCGTTTACTTTGGTCCTTTTGTTGGAACGCTTCAAGACTGACTGCAACCCCAAGATGGACCTTCAACAATAAACCCATACACCTCAGGTTGCTTTTCGAAAGAAAAGTGACTACTGACATTCGTGTGACACATAGCATACATTGATCAAATTGTGCATACAGTTTTACCAAATTACTGACATAAGCGCGTGAGAGCTACCGAGAAATGCACAGCAGTTGTCCATTGCAAATACTCATTACCTACCAAAATATTTATCATGGCTTCGATACGTATGGACGTTTTCATCGCATTGACACTAGTTACAAGAACTTGGTTGTTGAGCTCTCCGGCTTATCTGACCCAAGTGAAAACTTCTGTTTACTAACCGCATGTATCAGAAATGCTCTTGAAATAGTACGTCATCTCTAACAGGAGGATCAATAAGGGTGATCTAGACCAATGGACTCTGTTCGTTTTGAAAAAAAGGTACGCGCAGATTATTAGTCGGAAGGATAAAGGAGGTGGAAAACATTTTGTCGACAAAACTTCAGAGGAAAAGAAACATTCTGCGTGCAGAGAAGAACTATCACAGAGCAAACAAGGGAATGTGAAATTGCAACAAACCGTATAAAAGCCTTTCTGTTCTCGGTCAAAATTCATTCCACAGGTGCACAGGGCCGTGATCGACTGCATCTGTCACACTTGAAAATTTAATACCTAAATGAACTTGGAACACTCGGTCATACCCCAAAAAATAAGCGTGGAGGGGTGCTGATACCAACATTCATATGCTGCGGTGCATCGCTTAGATGACCAGAGAAGTTAATAGATCGATCGCGTTCGTAGATTTTACGTATCTCTTGTTCAAATCTGTCAAATTCGGCGATCACATTACTGATTTAATGGTATATTTTATAAAAGATTTTTTAGGAGTTTGTCAAAGCGTAATCCATCGTGCATACAATGCTTCTTCGCTTAAAAGACGCCTGCTATTGACCTGGTTCGTGAACGCTAGCACATTTTCTGGAACGGTACAATCCACCAAAGACCGTTCGTAACCTGATTATGATCACTCACATCACACTTCTCACAGGATGACCAGCACTGATGTACACTCAAATTACTCTGGTGCTCTCTTTAGGTCCTACCACCTCGTCAGGTATGGTTGCGGTTTTTTTTAAGTGGTTTTTCGCTTCTAACAAAGGTGTATTGTTGAGAAGTTTAAATAAGTGATAAAAGTATCCACCAGGTATTTTCAGAGTACGATGACAAAAAGATTCAAGGTAGCTCAAACTTCAAAAGAGTGACTCACGGGTAGCTGCTTGGACAGTGAAAAGTTGACCCTATTAGGAGCTAAGCAAGGAGTGACCGAAGGCCAAGTATAAATGGATTATTCCAGTAGCCTGCAAAAATAATTTTCTGTAATACTCGCTGCGTTAAGAGAATTTATACATACGCCCGGAAAGACTATCTGAAGGGGTAAAACAAGCGTCGAGTTTTATCAATGTATCTTTTGAAGGTGTTCTATCAAGGGGACGAAACTGTGTAAGAGATACTGACATACAAGATCGAGTTGCCAGCTAGCTGTGACAACACCACTGATGGTTTGCTTCACATTCAATTTGTCTGGACTAAAATTCGCTGCTTTTTGAACGTCCCGTGAAGTCTTATATAGAAAACAAAACATGCAGAGATTTCAGCAAGACGACATGAGCCCCGTAATGAATGACTTAGAAGATACAGTTCGAGGGCGAACTTTGACGAGGTTTTTATTGCCGCTGGTATTCGGTTTGTTCAGTCAGTACAGTGTGTTTAAGCGTGTGCTACATGTGTGTTCGTCGAGGACACACTAGGACTAAACGAGACTTAATGGATGTGCAACTAGGAGCGGATCATGTGAAACCTCGTGGCCACTAACATACTTGCGTACATCTTGCCAGTGACAGCAATGGACCAACAGAAATAATCACACCACAAGTATCACTACTGGATATAATGATGTAGACGATAATACTAACAACCCCCTCATTTCTGGTCTATTTTGTAGGAAACGACAAAATCGCTCCGATTAGGAATGGGAGATTTTATCGTAAACGTAATACCAATCGTAAAAAAAACATCGGACCATAAAAGGAAGTAGCCCCGGATTAAGCAACGTGTGTTATCATTCTTAAGTGAGATCATGGTCAAAAGAAAGCGAGTGGAAAATTTTGGTAAAAGTCAACACGATTCTCAGTAGAATACTTGACAGTGATACCAAAACTGTTGTATACGGTATCCCAAAACTTGAAAGCGCAACTGTGATCGAAATATAGGCGAAATTAAGGGACCTACCTCCTCGCGTCTGGACTTAAATCTGTATGGATGAATAGTCTGCGTTTGTTTGAAATGCTCTCAGTACTGGCAACGCCATCTAAACAGAGTGGGAGTATCTGCCATACTCAAACACTATTAACTGAGCGCGAAAATTGAGCGGATAGTTGTACCCGAGGCAACTAAAAAAGGTTATACACTTAGAGCACTCAATCAGGGAAACTGAAGTCCCCCCCCTTGTTACGTTTCCCGTTCTGCTAGTGTTGTCGACCTGAGTACGTACCTAAGTACTTTGATCTTCACGACAGACATCCGTCTGTAGACCACCGAGTAACCATTAGAAATAATTGTTGTCCCTTAATAAAATTAAAAAAGTCAAATCAAATACAAAATTATTAATATAGACAGAGCCCCACAAGCAAGTTTTCCTGGACGTATTTTCTAAAATCCAGAAACAGAAACCAGCATTTTGCGGATCAGCCACTAGCAGATATTGCGAAATGATTGAATACTAAAACGAAAATCTACTCACCATGTCCGGAGATAATTTCGGCCTGACCAGGATCAAGAACAATGACCACCAGTAGGCTAGCATACCGGCAGTACGGGTTATGCCTCTGCGCTCCGATTTCGTCTTAGTCAGTGCCTCACAGGCGTTAAGACTGCAACCTTTCGCAGCGGATACGCGATGCCAAGGTTTGACTGGCCCGGAGAAGTGAGCTACTCGAATCGTGCCTCCAAAGTGTACCCAAGCTGCAGTACTTGTGTAGAAGTCAAAGCCACACTCATCCGTTATTTGACAAATACAGTTGTACACATAAGATAAGCGATGGGATATTCCTTTTGATAGCCAATTGGAAAAGTAGGTGTTCAGCAGACCCTGAAGAGCAAAACAAAGATCCGACGATGAAACATATGTTAAGATTCAAAAAGCATAATCTGAGATAGTATAGCAGCCACTAACAGTGTTGTTCATCAGTGCAACTATCCTATCAGAATACATAATATGAAAATAGGAATTGCGAAAAAATCGAAAAAATAATTGGAACATGATGGTGGGGTTTTACGGTTATCATTCATCCACAAAGTGGAGCAAATCAATTAATTAACTATAGGTTAACTAAGCAAGGTGAAATCAGTGAACGTATGGAGTCCTTGCGTCCTTATTTACACTGTACATTCCCGATGCTGGCCGTCCACCTGGTCTGATTACAACGGCCAACCCTGGGATGAAGGTTCCTTTTGATCGTTAATTTCATTTTTTTTAACACTCAGAGTTTTGTCTGTGAGTTCGTTGTAAACGCGAATCCCTCAATATAAACAATAAATGAATAATGCTGATCACAGTCTGAATGTACTTTCTTTCTACGAAAGCTTACTGTCTCAGATACAGCTAATCTACAAGATTTTTTCGGTCTTTTCTGTGACTCCCCATCATGTTATTTCCAGCTGCTTGCTTTTACACCAACGAACTTCTCGGTTACACGAGAAGAATTATTTTGGTGTACAGTGTTGTAAATAAATTCGTGGATATTCAAAATTTAATGTGCCACATACTGAACACATATGGCCGAACATAAATAATGTGTGGATGTTTCATGGTGCGATTAGTAGTCGATATTACAAAATGGATGAAAATGGTTCAAGCTGCTGGTATCTTGGTACGTTTTTATAACTTACGTTAACAAAATAAACAATGGAGGATAATTAAGCACAAGACTAAGGATGGTGTTGTTACCTCGGGTCACAGTTGTGTTAGGTACGATTTGTTCGCAGACCACTTCTGCAAGACATCATGTAGCTTCCTTGTTGATCTCAGTACAAACTGTCCACCTTAAGTTTACTTTGGTGTTCCAAAGGTGAACCTTGCACTTGGTCAAATTGCACGACATCAGTGTACAGTGGTCTTGATGGAACTCCGATTAACCGTGCCCTTTTCGATGATGGCAGAGGGCCAATTTTAGGTAATATGGCCATTGAAAGTTACACTTCTCCAGACAGGGGAACGGAACCATGACGTTTTCTAAGTGTTCGTTCTGTTGGTAGTGTGAGGAGATTTGGGATTTTTGTGGGATTTCGTCCTGTAAGTGAAGCCAATCTATGAAGCCAATCTCGGCTTTTCAGCATAGATTGTTCGTTCTGTTTCTATCTTCGCAGAGTTGCATAATTTCCCTGTATTACATTAAGCCTTCTCCTGCGACGTATTTGTCACAAGTACGTTAAGCCAGATAACATGCACCATCACGAAGGAATTGTATACGTATATGGGCAGCAGGCGAGCAATACTGGTGATGAGAAAACTGACGCCTGACTCTGGAGAAGCAAGCAAGCGACAGATATTCATATTTTCAGTTATTTGGTTAAAAACATAGTTGTATTGGAGAGACGACTGAACTTTGCTTGCGACTAACACACAACTATACTTTGAAGATGGATCGGTATAAGCACTGAACTTCCCGAAACTTTCAACATGAGGTCTTTATGCTCGCACCGGTTCCTCTACCAGGTCCAACTAGGCACGCGTACCCAGTAGAGTGACTGGAGATATGGATATGAAGCCGGTTATCGGGAGGTTCTAATCCAGTGTAGCCTAAGACCTAATACTGGAACCACTCTATGCACGCCTGGTACCTGATCACCTCTCCAGGGCAGAACCAGTAACATGGCAACTCTGGAGACAACTTGTCTTTTCATAGGGCTAACCAGTGTGATTTTAGTCAAACAATATTGCCTCTAAAACAAAATTATGTAAAATCGCCACTTTTACATTCCTTTTAAAGTAGGATAGCGTTTTGTGTTTCAGTTTCCGCTTCAGACTATCAGTCAATAAAACCGTAATGCAGGCAACCAAGAACCTTGTGATCAATTATCAAAAACCAACCGGGTCACAATGAACCAGTTCACCTTTCAAGTGTTGTATTACATGAGTCGTTTTAGTAAAACCAAGTAATGACAACAGATAATAGCACTGTAACCAAGATGTATTATCAGGCGGTAAGATGTTACCCGTATAACAGGCAACTTTGAAATCAACTTTAAATCCCTTCAATGGCCAACCCACGCCAAACTGTCAGTGGCCTCACTGCCCCCATACTGAGATTTATTCGTTGGTCAATTTCAGCAGCTTCAAATACGTCCAGCAGCTTTCCGTTCCACAGCGTCTTTTCCACTGAGACTAACTACTTTACACCTGAGGGACAAAATGTTACTTCCTCATGAAAGGGCACGATCAACCTAAACGAAAGAAACAACAAAGCAAACGACCGGAACCAGACAGAGCGCATCCATTTAGTGTCGATTTTATGACCAGCGGAAGGCTAAACGAGTTCATAACACAAAACGATGCCGCATGCGGTAGTTTTTCCTTTGATGCTGTGAAGATCGAGGCTGTTAACCACATTTTAGTGGCTCATAACCCCATAAGATACGGTAAAATTGGGCTTCCATCCGGCTTCGTGTATACTGACATTCATGAAAGTAGACTCGTTAGCATGGAACCAATGGGAAACGAAAAAAACAAGAGGGAATTCGTTGTCCGTGTCGTTCAAAGCAATCAAACCTGAGATTTTGGAAAAAAGTAGTGTGTCTTGCTTATATGGTAAAGTCACGGCCCGAAAGCGGTAAACCAGACCTACTTAACGTGATTGAGTAGTTTAGGACCTAACCACAGCCGCTGTAGACAGACGCGGTCATATCTAAAGCCCATAGCCTAATCGCTACCAGATAGTGTGTGAAGATTGCCAATCAGTTAGGCAAACACTGACTCCATCGGCAGCAATGTTCGCCTTATGCCTAAAGACCAGTCACTACTAGCTTGTCAGTGGGTCTCCGCTAAGGTATTCTTCCACACCTAAGTAAACGAAGCTGTATAGCCTTACACAGTTCAAAAGTACTACGTAATCCAACCAGCTTATTGAGTACCTTTCTTTTTGATGTCGTGAGTCTGCTCATAAAGTCAATCATTTGTGCACATTAATGTACGGACAGTCAATGGTAAGAATACGTCATTTCTTCCACAATTCAGACATCAAGCGTCTATAGTGTGGAAGAGAAGTTCAACGGTAGAAGTGTATTAGACTATTCGCCAGGGTATGTGCTGGAACCATGTTTATGATCATTTACGGTCGATTCCAAAAGTAGAAAAATAAAAAGGACATGTCAACCAACTTGGGTCCAGTGCAACAATACACTTATTGTTTCCAGATGAGTTCGAAATGCGCAACTAGAGGCCATGTGACTAGATTTAGGACAAAATGTCGGAAAATAGTACGCCAAACACTCATTGATTTGTGCTCCATGAGGAAGATTTTTAGGGCTTACAACCAGTAAACTTCATAAACACGGGAATGCTAAGCGACACATGAGACCAATGAATTTTCAGCCCATTCAGCTGAGAGATTCACCTCGAGGCTGGCTTTGGATGACGTAGGGGAAACATGAAGGAAAGTCCTTTTGCTACCAGTTCGGACCACTGCCCAAGTAGGCATCATCGGTTTACGCCCGGCGACCCACTAAAGCCCTTAAAAGTCATGCGAACTACCTATCACTTGCGGGATGTTAGTTCCGCTCCGGTGACTGAATGATTTAGGTGTGAGAGCAGTTCAAATTGCTATGTGATACTGTTATATGTATACATATACTATATATATATGTACATATGGAATATACATTATATATATGTGATATTGTTTAGTATCACTGTTTACTTTCTCATCAAAGAAATATTTACGTAATTTGTGGTTGCAGGACAATGTAGCAGCAATTTTAAAGATGAAGTTTGTCATGAGTATGAATCCAAATACACATTAGGAACAAAAGTAGAGAGTAATTCGACGAGACTCGAATCCCTGACCTCTCGTTTATCGGGGTAAGTGCCATGCCAACCCAGCTAGCACATTTACACGTGGGTCCACAGCGATTCGCCGTAACTCTGAGTAGTGGAGCAACAGCTGACGCCTACAAGTTCCATTGCACACTGACTAGTTCGCCTATTTGCCGGGCATGCTCGTATCTACACGGTTCAGATTAATTGCGCAGGACCCTAATTAATGAATTGCACGGTCGAAATTAGCGTGTCAGTCCACGGTAATCTTTCTATGAAGCCTTTATCCTTGCATCCTTCTTTTAATGATCTGGGTTGTCTCCTAGTCCACGAGGTTCATGTTAGAAGGCCTGAAACCGGATGCTGGTGTTACCCAAACAACAGTACACGGTCATACGGGTCATTAGCAAAAAGGAACCAAACGATCTTGTCTTAAGTGGCAAATGGTAGTTTTAAGGTGCCAACCACGTTCGTAGATGTGAAAGGAATAAAACCTGGCCTGAGAATCCAAAAATAACTTTAACAGTAGCCAGCATGACCGAAATCCGTGTGTGCGAACGGTTTAATAAAGCAACTTAGTGGATAAATATGGGCTCTAATCTCTTTTTTAGTAGCTTGCCCGTCTGCACAACGACAAAAATGGTAAATTTAATGTTTTTGTGTTGGTCTAACTTTGTTCACTGTGAGTCGTTTGACGTTGAAAGCTCTGGCTGCTACTCTCTGACACGCAGAAAACTCTCATTTGCAATGGAATCTTAGTTTACCGTTCGTCGGCACAGGAAGCATTCCCTTCTGGCTGACTTCTCCCGTATCTTTCCCTGTGTTCCTTACCCTTAATCCCTTCAACTCATAAATTCTGAGAGTACAGGATGCATATGTTGGTCAGAATTATCGGTTTCAAGCATCTCTGAAGCAGTTAGTTTTGAAGACGTTTTTATCAGATAATCTCCACTCCTAATATTTTGTCTGCTCTGAACCAACCTTAACATATTTTGGTTCCAACCGGCCTTAACTTACTGCACTTTTTACCGATTGGTTAAGTCACCTGCTGTCGTCAACGTCCCTAATGAATGCAGCTTGAGTAACAACTGCTTTTGCGATAGTCATTTCGTTGTGTTTTATCGAATTACGGTCCGTAGTTTTTCATTCGTGATTCTGGCAGTACATTGACTTGACTTAACAGTGGGATTCCTTTAGTCGACTTGGCTGGATAGAACCCTGGGGTTAATCTGGTCGCTAATACCCCAAAAAGGAATTTCCAAGCGTTTGTGAGCCAACGATTGCGATAATTGGAAACGAACTTTTATTTTCATAAATTCAGCAACTCGAAATTTTATTTCCTTCTGAGAAAGTCTCACTCTGATTCAAAGGGCCCAACCTAAAGCTTCCATATTGTCTTGGTGGTTCGGCTTTAGTACTCCAATGATCCCGCGGACTACAGTGGCTTGAACTCAATTCAGTAGGGTACATTCATGCAAAAAAAGCGTAAGGAGCAGTAAGACCAAGATAGGCGAGACCTCATAGTACAAGTGACCGCGCCACGAGACGGTCTGGGGTTAAAATCCCTCAGCAATATGGGTAACGAGGCGGTTCCTTTAGGTTCTTCCAGCATGTCCATATTTACGTACACAGCGACGCTGCTTTTGTCCAAGGAATGATGGGTTGGGAAATATTGATCATAAATACCCCACATTCCGATCACAAAACTATAAGCGCAGGCGCAATATTCAGTACGGTCAAAATACTTTCAAAACCAAGGAATCTGGTGCTGCCGAGCTGCTGTGCGGAGTTGTATCTTTGCACCGTCAAATTAGACCAGTCCCTTCAGTCAAGTATGTCGGACTGAGTCATCAACCACTGGCAGAGCTTTAAAGAAAACCATGCCGTCTGCGGCCCCGCAGGTCAGACTTTTGAATCACAGGCTAGGGACAAGATCCGGGAAAAACCTTAAGTCCTCCGACTGGCTTATGAGTAAGACCTAGGAGTCAAAGATTCAAGTTGGCGTACCTCAAATTAACCCTAATCCTCAGCCTGGGAAACCGGGAGTTATCGTTTGCTCGTACAGTTTTTTGTCCACTGAAGTCTTTCAAAATCCTTTCAACCACACAAACTAACTAAGCTGGTTATTCAATTGTCAGTTATCTGACCGAAGCGCTTTATACATTCTGCTGCCCAATGATATTAAACAAAACAACAAGTTGCTAAATTATCAAGATCCTTTCCGCAAAGGAGCTTCAAAAGTATGCTTTCTACAGCAACCTGGCAAGCGGCGGTGCTTGCAGCGACCCTATACTCCCATAAGGTTTACGTAAACTGTGACGCCGAAAAATTCACACAAGACCCAAGGATCGTCATGCATCTGAAAAAGCTAAAGGCTTACTCAGTTATTTCACATTTCACTCTTTTTGTGTCCGGTGATCCAGAAGCTACGAGTCATGAAATATATGGTGTAAGGGTCACTTTTAGCCCCAGAGCTGTTGGATTGGGTTCCAGTAAACAGTCATCTTTGCGGCGTTCTACATCCAGCCAAACACCTCTCGGCATAAAACGGTGCCTGTTTGTAGTGTCGAACTATTCCCTAGATGAGCTCACTTCTGACGCTGAGAAGAATACCTCCTACCGAGGGCTATTGGGACTCATCGAACAACCAAGAGGCATCTTTTTGGGTGGCATCAACAGCCAATTTGGTCATTTGGGATCCTGGAAATCATATCTAGGCGGTCCATTCGGAGTTGTAGGTTGTAGGTAGAAAACGGATAGCGAATCCACGAGTCGTACCGTGATCACAAACTGTCTCTGAGCCGTAAGAGCTTTCTGCATAAACAGTCACGTCACGTAACCAAGCGGTCATCACTCGTAAGCTAACCGTGGACTCATTTGGATCACGTGACCATCAGCCACCGGTGGAAAGCCACAGGTGAGGACCAAATTTCCTTCTGGGACACTCATTCTCATTCCTATCCCGCAATAGTGCGAGCGTGCCTAACAGTATGCTTCCCTTCAGGCTATCGCAAATCAGGAACAAGCGTGCCAATCAAGCATTCTTGGATGCCTACCATAGTTCAGCAGTATCGACCTGAAATAGCTCAAGTACTCCATACAGTAGACTAACACCGTACTGGTAGCGAGCATTGGATAGAACATGGCAAAATGTCAAAGCAGCTATGCTAGGGTCATTCATTACTGTCTGTCCAACTTATCCGATACGATCACCTGACCGCTGAACATCATCGATATCCCTAGTCCCGATTGATGCCAGCAAATTCATACCATTGGTAAACTAGTGTGATGATGCACGCAGATCCGTCAAACGCCGAATTGTGAAGAGCCAAAGAAGAGACAGAAGGGATTACGGACACCGAAAGCCTTGGAGATGGAGATAGAGAAGCCTTCTGCTACTAGAAAACACCTTGCCTAATACCACTTGATACAACGACGAGTGAAACGATAAGTTAAAAAACCGGCTTATTAATTCACTCGTAAAAAATCGACTTTAAAGGTAGGCCACAAATTTCGAAATACACTTTAACTGGCCTCCTGCAACACAGTTTCGGAGAGAGTGCATATGCGTGAATGGTGATCTGGTGACTCACTGACATGATGTAGAACATCAGTGTGAGACACTGGTATTATCCTGCCGATGATGATAACGGTCCACGAAAACCAAGCTGTGCTCCATCCTGCAAGAGAATTTACTGGTCACATTTTCATCGTCCGACATATTTTGAAACAGTTACACTGTTTCCAGAAAACAAAGATGGTGGTCCTTCTTGACTTAAACTCCGCCTGACTCCGTGCACTATACGATATCTGTGGTGCAAAGTAAGTGGTTTTTCTTCACGGAGTGAAGAGCGCTTCATGCCTTCAAATTGTAAAGTGCCACTAAAAGACTAAAGGAGCTTGAACCCTAGCCTCATGCTTGCGGATGAGCCTAGTAAAGCAGTAGACAACTTTATCAACTTAGGGAGATGTACAAATTCCAGTGATTTTGCCGATGATAATTATATTTGGATTTGGAAGGTCGGAGCAGCCTTTGTGAACCTACATCACTTGATCCGAAGGTTGACATTAGTTCATCTGTCGAAGATCTAGTTTACAACAATCTAATGCACTCCATATTATTATCGGAGTCCGGAACCTGACAATTACTGGCCGAGGGTGTCAAAAGACTTTCACTGTTTGGCCATACATATCTTTTGAGCATTGCTCGGGTCATGTGAGAACACCAAGGTAGGAGTGTTAAGGTTTGTAGAATAGTTCGCGTAGGAAATAACGCGCCTACGACAGACCAAATGATCACAATCCACAGGTTGAATTGACTTAGTAACGTTCTCCGTATGCTAGTTAACCAACTTCCCTGAAGTACCATTTTAGCACAACACGAAGGGTGTAAACGAGTCAGATGAGGTCAAACAATGGTTTGGCAACGAAATATGAAAACCATTACCAGCAAGCTCAGCTGCGATTGTCATTGCCGTCTCCCTTGGTTGAGATCCCCAGACGGGACACATCAAGGGTTAGAGATATTATCTGACATGGCTCAGTCACACCCTTAATGGCTCTCATACATGCAAGCTCTCGTTTTCACTGAATATCTCCCTCCCAATCCTCTAGTGAAAAGTTCACCGACACCCCTGTATTTAGCCATCAATTATAGTAGCTGTCGCCTCCAATGGTGAGCTATCTACCCCATCTCCCTAACGAACGAAAATGTAGCAGCTGCAGCCACTGCATGACCAGCATGTAGTTATTGCAGCTGATGATGATGACAACGACAATGATGGTAAGAGAAACATCGGATTCCTGGGGGCGGAAAAAGACCATATATGACCTACCTGGTCACCGCCATCAAAACTTCCGACCTCATTGGCCAACTTGAGCAATTCTTTGTAAGTTTCTATTTTGGGGCGAAAGACAAAAACACCAGTGTTGAAACAATCTGGCCAGCATGGATCAGGTACAGCAGTCAGTTCTTCACGTTCAAAGAGTTCATCAATATTGTGCAGAACCTGAGGAAGAAAGTAATGAGTGTTTGAAGGCAAATTAAGACCTTGAATCATGCAAATATATATATGCAGCTAGAAAATTGTGAAAGAATCTTGAAAGTTACTTATTTAACTATTGGAATATCCGGGAATTTTTCCGCAACTCATTTCTCCTGCAAAGGCAGTGAGAAGAACATATGGATCAGTGTTTAGTTTAGCAATAGTTGAATACATCATCATGCCCATGCGGAAAGGACCACACTTTAAATGAATGCTGTTTTCAGTTGACAGTTGCTTTCACCAAAAATGTAGGGCGTGATACTGGCCTTAGCACTGTAGGTTCCATTTATGTTTGGGTGTGCTGGTGTTACACGATACTATTTGACTTAGGGGTTCTCATCCCAGGTTGATAATTACACTTACGGTAATCTGTGAGCCTCGTAGGCAAATAAAGTTACGGAGCTGTAGACTGGAGTTAAAATAATTTAGGTATCAGTCTGCTGTGCCATGTGAGCACGTAATGTGGTCGTGCACAACCAGCTATTCATGGTTAAGATCCTGTATGCNCGCTCTAATATGCCACCTCGGTTGCCGATGAAAAGCTTGTAATCAAATTTCCAGACGAACCAACAACCACTGTAAACATCGTTATATGACCAGTCCCGCAGAAGTAACCTCTAGTGGTCCCTACTCCTCGGAATCATCAATGGAGAAATGACAGGTGGAAAGATAGATTTTTTCTGACAAAAGTATGCGTATCCCGGAGCTTTCCTGATATTAATTGCTGCAGCACTTACATTCGGTTATTTACCAAAGATGTTCACAATTTCATGGGTTTTTATTGTAGCGGTCACTCACAGGATCGCACGTTACAGTCACTCAAACCACGTGACAATTCCTGTCCCACTTGCAACCTTCGCCGACAACATGTTCATTTCAACTTCCCATCCATTTTCGTCGGCTCGGCTATCACCTGCTCACACACCAGGCTGACGAACCTCAACCACATCAGGTGAAGTTGTGTACATGTTCATGCAAGCGTCAAACACGAACGGACACCTCTGTCTTTTCGTTGCACAGGATAAATAGGCATACAACTCCTCCCAACAGAGACGCACGCACACAGGACAAGAAGCCAACCGAGCTCCAAAAGTCTCCAGACACAGAAGTAGTTGCTATATTGCCGGGAATACAAGTCCCGCACCGGAAATTTACTCAGGAACTATCAAGAAATGTCCTCGAACGATAAGGAACCTTTTAGTTTATTCCAAATTTTGCAATGTATTTATTTTTATCAAGTGCACCTAACTAATATATTCATCGCCAATCTAGTGGAACAGACATTTATTAATGATTGTTACATTCTCCTAATCAGCTTCATTACTTTACAAATAGCGCACGTACATTATCAAAGATTCCTTACATGCACAGAACGGGCTTAAAAGTACAGCTCATTGACGATATATTTTGTCGTGAAGTGCTGTCATGACTTATTGAAAATTGTTGACTGCCAGTGTATCAACACATGCGCTCATGCTGAAGCTACACTCAGTACCTGGCTTCAAATAGCTCACTAGTAAATTTACAGACTGAATATTAAAACAATGAATAAAATTTCCGTTCAGTAATATTTGCGCACAAGTCATTGGAAATAGAAGAGAGTTTCTTACATTCGGACGTACGGGAGAATGTCCGGAACAGAAATCGATTGTCCACAATTGCCGTGCATTAGCTAAGGAGCCGAGATTAGCGGGATTTGACGACGGTCTTTTTTGGTGTGAGTACAACATTGTAAGTGAACATAATGCTTTCGCTCCCTTTTAAGATCCATTCACATCGCAAATGTGTGTGCAAACCTTACGTCAAGTTTCACTAAGGATATTAAGGTTATTGACCCGTTACCTGAAACGTCCTTACTGTTCAGTGTTTCAACTAAAACAAGGCAACCAAGCGATTATGCTCAGTCTGATTGTCAACTATTGAGCGTTTTTGTCTCTTTGTCGACATTGAGATACCAGCATTGAGCAAAACTCCTTACTGTTCAGTGTTACAACTAACACAAGGCAGCCAAGCGATTGTGCTCATTCTGATTGTCAACTATTGAGCGTTTTTTCTCTTTTTCGACATTGAGATACCAGCATTGAGCAAAATTTGCCAACATTTTGTCGAGGACAAAATAAATGTGGTTTACTCTCGGTTGTCTGATTTTGCTCGGTGGTAGGGCAACCATACAACTCCATTAGGGCGCCGTGATCTATTACGTAGCCCTGGATATTCGGACATCAGTAAGACGACTCCGTTGAAAAATTTCGGCTACTTCTGAACAGGGTTGTCAGTCTATGTCATTTGCAATTCAAGAAGCTCTGCCTAATGTCACCAGCTATCCAAGAGTTATCCAGGTGGAATCAACTGCTTCTGTTTTGTGAAGCGTAACAGGGAGTATATGCAGAAGTTCGTGTTTTTTTCCTTAAGCAACACTTACGTATATTTAGTGGCTGCTTATTTTTGCTGCTGTTGTTGATAAAATTAAACATTGCCGTTTGCACTGCTTCCCATTATTTCTTCTGGACTCTTACTTGCCCAACAGGCCCACCGAAATGGTTATCTTCTTCGTAACTGCGATCTAAGTTCACTTAAGCTGTTTGCTCCGAGTTTTTTTTATGACTGTTGAAAGTAAGTCTTTCCGAGTTCATGAAACCGCAAGACCCCGTTTTTATTATCAGTAGGCTAAAATTACTTTCTAGAAATTACACAATACTGATCTTCATATCGCACGCAAAGAACTCTGATAATATGTCTAAGTGAGACTTTATCACCAATCGATATCAACAACGACTGATCACAACTAGGCCTGAATCCTGTGTAGTACTGCGTTTCTCAGATAAATATCTCGAAATAGCCTATCTATTTCTTTGTGTATGGGATGCACTATTCTTCCATGTCTTATTAGGTTGTCGAACAATGACGCCAGTAAATCTATAGGGCTCAACAAGGGTGATCTATAAAGTTTTAACCTAACCTTGAATCTTTGACTGGATTTCCCTGACGACGCGTAAAGTATAATTTAACAGCTAGCGCCTTTGGCACGTTTTGAAAGCTGAGTGCCTGATTGAGCCATATCCACATGAGTACATCAAAACTTTTCTCACTCCTGCTGTGTTAATTGCTCCTTTTCTCGGTTTTATTACACTTGTACATTCAATTTAAAGAAGCAGTGACTTAGAATTGTGCCGCAGGATGACAATCCTGTCGTCAAAACAATTTTCCGTGTTTGCTGGTTTGATTATTCCTAATTCAACTGCTTCGTGTATAATTTAATTTACCCTCGGACTCAGCTGGCTAATAGCTGTTCTGTCAGTAGTTCATTCCTTCATTGTGTGCGCTTATATCAACTCTACCTCGTGAAATATGGAGCTTCATTAGAACTGACTTAAACTGTATGTCAGAGAAGCTCAAAAATGATAAGGGTATGCTACGTCCACACTGTAACGCTTTCTCCATTCGGCAGCTGCCACTGAGATATGGCTCAAACTGCAGATGAATCACATTTGTTTCTGTACCTTTCGGTTCTTAAGCCTCAAAAACATGCTATGCTTGAGTTCAGTATAGTTCACCATGTGCGCCGACACTTACGTGCACAGCAGCAGCTTATATGCTTCCAAAGCATATTGATCGCGTTACTCTTTATGGTGCCACATTGCACTAGTGTGTATCACAAAGTTGGAAGGCCATCAGTCTACGACCGTCCAAATAGATAACATCAAAATGGCTTTTTTGAGGTCACTAGTTCAAGAATCCAAGCAAAATGACATGTACGGCTCTAGCCGTCCATCCAAGACTTATTACGCTTAGAAACAAATTGTAATGTTCTACTAAATTTGTGAAAATGCTTTTTAAAGGCATCGGATATATGTGTACAAGATGAGGGGTGCCTGATAAATTCACTAGCACCCTAAGAACCCCTTATGCATGCAAATTTGGGTTACTTTCTGACCACATAGTTACCTCATCCCTAAATTGTTACTTAACTCTTTATTGCACGATGTGAGAAAAGATCTGCGTCACAGTTCAGACTAGTGTGGTGTAGAATTATGCACCGCAAAAATTAATTTGTTTCTTAGAAGACGCGGTGGTTTTTCATAGACTCCAGTATTCTGTTGAAGGACTGACGTCCTTTCATCGCTCTGGATTGAAAAAGCTTCCATAGGAGCGCCAAACATTGAAGTAATTAAGGAAAGGAAACAGTGAATCCGGCAAGCCATCTAGTCCTCCGTCACCTTCGGTGAATTTGACAAATCAGCTTCGTTCTAAAAGGATGACAATGGAAAGCTTCTCTCTGAATTGTTTTTCTGTGTGTAGGCTAGATAAGAAGCCTACGAATGTAGGTCAGATAATTATACATTTTTATTACATCTCTTTGCAGGATGATCTAGAATTCCGGCTAATAACGTATGCGGGTAGTGAAGAAGTCCTTCATGGAGGGCTTAGTGGCAACCGACATTCAGTATTGTTCTGATTAGGCTAATTTAGACAAGTTCAAATACCAATGCACTGAATGCTCCCCATGAATAGTTCAAGACAACAGACGAGTCACAGCTAGCAAGATGGCAGTAAGAAGATTACGTAGCACAAATACTTGCAGACTGATACTAGCGGTTTGGTATTTACCATTTCAATTAAACCCTCCGGTTGGAAGTCAGGGATGATTAATATGACTGGCTAATAAAAATATCCTGTATACCTCTCGTGGTTTTGCACCGGACTATTAGTATTTCCTCCTCCTATTTGCACTTTCCTTTTCTAAATTTGGATTCGTGTATTGTGCATCCTGTGAAATACCTCAGCATTTCTAAAACGCCTTACTCAGGTGAATGTTTCTAACGCTCCAGCTAGACACAGTCAATTCTCGATATGCCCACTGAACTTGTAACCGGAGTGCGCGATCATCCGTTTGCCCAAACTGAACTTGGCTAATTTCCAGACCGCGCGCCTGAGATTGCGGTAATACTCCATTCCTGTATGGCAAAATATGAAATTATATACCCACCGCAACCTAGTAAATATGGTGGGTAATTGTCAATCCCGAAAATGATAGGTTACATCCAGACTATCACCACAGCTGTGCTAACCAATTGCCGTAGTCAGCTTGCTATATTTTCGAGTTTTTTGTGGGATATTTACATCAATGGACCGTTCCTGTGCCCATTAAGTGCTCCTCAAACAGCTGTTAGCTAAAATGCCTACTTGAAAATCACACACACATATACACTGTGCACACCATTCGAAACCTAAAATTTCACGTCTTTTGTGACGCAAAGGTTGGCCTTTATAAACAATGACTAAGACTAGCCAATAAAGGCATGAAATATCCGTCAGAAATAAAACTTGAATTATCGGTGATACACTTACAATCGTGTCAGCATCCAGGTACACACACTTTTCGAACTGTACAAGGCTCCAGCATCGGATTTTCGTGAAGGTAATTAACAGCTCCGAACGGCCAAAACGTTCCACGTACGATCGATCCGGATTTTCTATTTCCTGAACTTCGATAACGTTATCAAATGCATCTCGAAGCAGGCGACTGGAAAATGGTCAAGTTATTTTACAGCACAAACCGATATGCCTCCGTGACCCCTTTGGTAACCATAACGGTTATCTCTTTCACTGTATTCGTTTGCCGCAAAGATGCGGCAAGCACCAGTGCCCCTAGGCAGTACTCTGCATTCGTTACCAGCGAAACATATGATAATCTGGCCATCGTTCTCCGTCAAAATCGGTCTTGATCCGATAACGGTCTTATATATGCATGAATATACATGGAGTTTTTCTCCCAGAGTCAGATAATGTAATTTAATTTTCACGCGCCAAAACCCAGAGCAGATGTACCCGAACCAAAAACCGCACTGCGTTCTATCACATTGAAGCAAGTGAAATTAGGACGCTCGGACGTACATTCCTAATTGGTATATTAAAACAAGCGTTTAAGAGGTTGTATGGTTTCCTTCTGGATCGAGTGAAGTAGAGGTGTCTAGCAATCCGTTTATGGAAGCCGAAGTGTCAGCTTAACAAAATGATGAATGCCCGGTGGTGGCGTGGGACTGTGCCGTTGGGAAGGTAGCAGTCAGGCCTGTAGTGTCTGTAATCCGTTGTCACATTTACCATTCTTCCTGAACTTGAACCACACTTTGTAACTGTCGTTCACGTTGTATCATGACGTTTGTTTTAATGTTACGAATACACAATTTTCCGGCGCGACCTGCTGACTTCTTGCTGAACGACCGTATTTACGCCCCGTTGAACTGTTTGTTGACCGTTGAACCAGTGGGACTAAATCTCTGTGTTTGTGTCAACTGTTGAACGTCACAATAAATCCCTGTGACATTTTTTAGCCGTGAATAATTTTCCTACCGTGGAATATATCGCTCACATGGAACCATCTACAGGAAATCTCGACGAGTGAGTATTTTCCTTTCACAGCCAGTTACTGCATTTGGATCGGTGTAGTGGACTACTGGACCTACGCGTTCTTTAGTTCCCATTTGACTACTCACTCCTTTCCTATTGTGATTTTGTGATTTTGCATTGGTTACCTTTGCTTGTAAATTTATCCGAACACGCTGATTAGGTCCTAGTCCACTACAAGCCTTCTTAAAGTAAATCCGATAAGGATATATGGAAGTAAAATATAATGATACGCGCAGCAGCACAACCGGAAATATCATTGCCGTTATTCTGTTATACATATTTCTTTTCGTTGATATTCTCTCTTTTTCTCTCATTCTTCTAGCCCACAAATATAGCAAACATGAAGGCAGGAGTGAAAAGCAATTACAAGCAGTCGTATGGAATGACTGTCTTTCTTCTGCAATCGTCTGATAAACTAGCAAAGCGTGCGTGAGTAAAAGGTCTCGACGAATTCTATCATTATAATTACTGCATACGCTGGGCGGCTCATGACTCTGCTCACATAATTTATTTGCTAGGCCTCCGCGGTGTGGTCCGTTGGCGTACGGACCAGATGGTGCAACTTCCTCTCTGAAGAATGTGAGATTGGTGTGGATGACAAGTTCTAGTAGGGCCCTGTGAACGCTCATGTAAATCGACCGAAATGACCCATGTCCCTATTCGGAAATCTTGGTATCCTGAACGCGCTTTCGCTCGTTGGGCACTGGATCACTGGATGTGAACTCCATCAGTTCACGTCCACCGATGCTTCGTACCAGAGATTGCCACCCAAATGATAAACGATAATTGATAGCTGCCAAATGTGTTTTTACGTGTCGCGATCGGGTGCGCTTGGACTAATTTATCGGCACCACTCCTGTAGCATGTGAAACTCGGATTGTAATATCACTATAGTGCCCGTAAACAATGCCGGTGAAAGATTTCGATGTTACCGTTCCATGTCCATGGGAGTAAATGTATCGTAAGAACAGCTCCGTCCAAGTTGATACCAAGTTGATATTTGTACTGAATGGGTATGCCGAGGGGTCCCGCACAGTATATGAGCTGTATCAATAAAATTTAACGGCATTCAGTATACACTAGAGAACCCACTTAAGCCCATTTTTCCGATAAGTGTTTTGTTACACCCCGGGTCCCAAAAATAGCCACTTGATTATCGCCATTCCGGCTTTGATTTATTGCCACAAATAATCACCTTGGTTAGTTTAAAAAACCAGAGTTATCCTCAAGTTTTAATTGTTCTACCCACTATAAGACTTTCATTACCTCTCAACTAATACTAAACTAATACTCACTTGATCGGGAAGTCAAAAGCCATCTTCCCCAAAGATGAACGTCGCATTCAATATTTCATTCGGGCGTTGATCACAAATTCGGAGTGGAAAGTATTAACGGTCCGTCGGTTTTGGCTCTATCTGTCCATAACTGGCCGTGGTCGCCACCCAGCCCAGTATCCAGGCGATTAGTTGGTTTCCGTGTTCTTCTCGTTCCTTTGACGCGTCATCTGTGGCCGCATCTTAAAACATGTGATCTCCAGTGACCCTACCCAGTTACTGTTTGTGACCCCCGATACGTGCGCTAGGACACACCGATTTGTTCCGCAAGCTGCAAACAGTGAACCGGACTCATCGATCTGGGCCACTTTTTGTACAGATTAGTACATTTTTAAAGCCAGTATTTCATAGGCAACGGTTAATTCCTCTATAAACCTACTGAACCTCAATCAGGCTTTGCACCGCCGAAGTTCTTTTAAACAAAAGTGAGCGCTTTTTCTTGGCCAGAAATTGAGTTGGTCTTAAAGTCCCCGATTTGGTGTCTTTTTGCCAGAAACATTAACTGGCGAGCAAAAGCAGTGGTCGTGCTCCAGCCGAAGAGGGCACTCAAGAAGATTTCTCTCATCTCTCTTGTCATATAGGTTGGTGGTCGATACATTAGCGCAAAACAAAAATTCTAGGCCAGGTGTTGTGGAAACTTTTTGCGTTTAAGTCCTTCTGTAATACTTCGCCCATTTTTATACTAGATAATTATTTATTTACGGTGGTCCTTCGACGGTAGCTGTGACCACAGAGGCCACTGTTGTTTCCTTCCACATTAGGTCTGATCGTGTCAGTATCAGTTCCAAGTTGGACAATCGCGTTCACCGTTCCATAATTCCACAGTCATACCTAAATTGCCAACTCACATAGGTGGCTAAGAATTGGCGAGGCTGTGGAGCTGCGGTCTGAGAGCTTTGGGGTTTACCCATTCTCATTCCCCCAAACAAACAGTCCCCAACCTACAAAGACATATCACATTGTGGCACCAATTCCGTCTTGTCCCTCAAGGCGGTTGTTGGGCCCCGAATAAACATCACCTACATTCTTAGCATGTTTGAAAGAACACCCATGCCAAACTAGCTTTCAACAAATTTAATTTCTGAAGCCTGAGAGCATAGTGCTCCAAAGAACGTCAGATTGTTGAGTAGTGATGGCTAACAACCCCTTGACTCAGCAACCTCGTAACTCTTCCACCACAACTACCACCATGCCACAAAAGTCCCTAGCAGCTCCACGTGCACCGAACTCCTCGTCAAAGAATCACAGCCGCTTCTGTTTTCGCTACACGAGATTCAGTGTCAAGCTCTTACGTTGTATATCCCCGTGCGCCTACGTCTCCCACGGCCAGGGAAACCAACCATAACAAATCGGTATCGGCGACAACCGCCAGTGGCCAAGCACTTAGTCGCCTTTACTACATTACAGATCGGACCACTAGAATGCGATTCCTTGTCAACGCGGGTGCATACCCCGGCGTTATTCCTGATGGAGCCTGTAAATGCAATTATTTTAATCCACTGATGTCAGATCAGGTGGCTAACGGCTTTCGGGTAGCTATCTTCGGCCACAAGTCTCTGAGGCCTTGGTCTTGAATTTTCACCGCCGCCGACGTCCCAATCACCGGTGCGGATGTTTTAAACACATTTTCAGATAACAGAGAAGTCTGAATTCTTTAACGCCACCTCCGGTTCCATCAATTCCAGTCAACACCGTATCATATTCATTCTGTATTCAAGTCGCCCCAAGTTCGAAATTTCTGGCATTCGACGATTGATTGTAAAAGTATCCCAGTTTGCTTAAACAGTTCTGTTCGGTCTCGAGTGTAGCGCATTCAGGCAAAGACTGCATAACAACCAACAGTCCTGCAGCTCATTTACGCCATCGACGACTACATCTCAGTCCTCTAAATGCCTCGATGTCTCATATGATCAGCAAAGCGGTCAACCACAGAAGCGCGCAAACTGCTGATGCATCTGTGAATGAAACTCAATGACCTTCAATCACGCCCAACTTGTCTGCCTCTTAATCTGGTCCTATATGTTGCCGTTCCTAAACCAGTTGCGCAACCAGCCACCAGTACTAACGCTGAGGCTCCCATGGTGCCATTACGTTCTCAGTGCTTTGTGATTGTGCTTTGCACGCTCTCGTGCTTTGTGTGCGCTTTGCCCACACCAAAGTATTCGGTAGCTTCTAGCTTCATAGACTTACAAGATCCTCAGCCTTACATTGCTCCCGAAGACCGACTTTTTGATTCACAACCCACGAAATTTGCAAATGTCGTTAGCAGTCTGGTACAACTCCAGTTTCCGAAACGACCAATGATCTCTAGCCAAAGCAATGGCTTCAGTGGTCGCTAACAGCATTTGCTCCCGTCGCAGACCTCCCGGGCCTGTTGTCTTTCGGGTTTCCACCTCCGTCATTATAAGCTTTCGAGTTCAAGCGTCTAATGTCAAGGATACTATACGAAACGTGCCCTCAACTGCATCCCCGAGAATCGGTCCCTTGCTCCGGGCTACCCATAATTACGTGAGAAGTACATTAAACCACATGTACCATGTACTCGGTGAAACCTTGCAGCCGCAAATACCGAAGGCCAATTCAGCTCTAATGTGCCTCCACCATCCCGCTAACACGTTCTCCCCACCTGTGCACCATTTCTGGATGCTAACCATCCCTCACACCCACCGCCACTTTCTGCACCATAGCTTCCTTTGGATCTTTTGACAATGCGAATGATCGCACGTCCAAAGCGCCACCCCTCCAGAAACATTCCTTACCTAATCCCCTTTACCGTGGATTCAAAACTGCTTCACCCACTATTCACAACCTACCACACGTGCTGAGCACAATTCGGCCGGCTACGAACCCACGCCTTGTCAACTCCACCTCATGTATCCTTGCCTTCGCCACCGATTTACCCATAGCACCGAGCTCGATCGTAGGCGAGGTAAGGCATATCCTAAGACAAATCGCAAAT